CATTTTAACTTAAGATTATCATGTATTGATTTTTGTATATAAATTGTTGTTAACATTTAGTATGTTTCTTTGGTCTCAGAATAAACAAGTATTATACTGTATTATCTTTGTGATATATCATTTTGAAGACTAGAGTGATCTAGTGGAGAATCTTTTGAACATTTGCAGTGGTATGCAATCCATTTAAAGTAAGGGCATATCATATGATAGCAAATATTTGGATTGAAAACTGTTGAGTGCCAAATGCATACATACATTTATACTTATTTAAATGTTAATAGGAAATCGATTTTGACACAATCTATAAAAATCATATTTAAATTTTGACAAGAAATTAGCCAGTGTGATAAAAAAAGGAAATGGTAAAAGAAGGTTTTAAGTATTTAAAGTAACTACTTGTGACTTAATTCAATTCAATTTATTACCGATGATGAAAACTATCGGGAAGTTTTATGGTCGCCATAGTGATCTCATTGAAATCCTATTTCTTTGTGCGATACGAAGTTGGACGTATTTGATGCTCGTTTGCTGACTGGTTCGTTGTGGTATACCTTGTTCTCATTTGAGAAAGTGATATTACTTATTTGGATTGACCCAGGGCTACAAATTATCTTCAGATGTAGAAATTCGTATTTGTTTTCCGACCGTTTATTCCCCACATATTTCTCTCGTAACTTGCCCTTTCTGCCTTTCAAATATATACATTTACCTGCGAAGAAGAATGGTTCTAAACTCATTTACAATCATCTTTATCAAACACCACGGCAATAAGTCAGGTAAAATGGAAGAACAGTTTCCGTATGCAGGAGAACACTTTCATATGCCTTCAGTGGTGTAAAGTACCTTTTAATACAAATTTAGAGGCAGATACAGGAAAGCCAAACAATTATCTTATCTGCATCGTGCAGTGTTATGTATTTGCTAACGGTTAAAAAATGAAATGTTTTGTTGTCATGGCGACGTCGTCATTGATGTACTGTTATTGACCAATAATATGCCGTTTCAAATCTGAACCGTTTTAAATGGATATTCATTTGACATGAAGGGATACCTTAAATCCTCGGGAACTGAAACGCAGATCAACTGAGCTTACCAAATGCCACTTCAATGTTAAAACAAACAAAATGTCCGTCGAGCATTTCGAATGAACTATGCAGGAATTCACACTGATTATGTTGAAGTAACAACATCTAAGTGTTTAGTCAACATTGATTTATACTACGGCTGTCTTCTTTCTAGGACTCGTTATTGGTATTAAGGACCTTAAGTTTGAAACCTTAAATGCGACAGAGGAAAATCGAAATAGATAATGAGGCACTGGTATGGTTGTTAGTCCAAGGTGTTTATTAAGTATCAAAGGACAAGGAACCATAGTTCATCTGAGGTTAAGCCTTGTCATTATTTCGTGTTTATAATTGTGCGATGTTTGCTTATAGCCCTAAATTTTATAGATATTTGGTTTAAATATGCAGACACCGTTAAGCCATTTACATGCAATTTTACAGTATTTATGTATTTGCTAAAGGTAAAGCAAATTATTATTTTTGTTGCCATGACGATGTCGTCATTGATGTCCAAGCAATGCCATCTACTGCATCTTGCGCTTCAGTTGAACTCGATGCTGTTGTATCGATGTGTATAATGTTTTTTAAACGTTTATAACAGCCGTTATTTCCAAATGAAAATATAAGGCTTGTTCTGTACATTTATTCAAGTGCAGTTACATTTGGGTAACTATGTGCTTCTTTTGATGCACGATATATTTCAGACAGATTTCAAAAGACAGGTAGAATATCTCTATTCGAATATGTAAAGACCGAGGAAGGCAAAACACGATAAGTCAGTCAATTTTTTGCAAAGTTCTAGAAATCTGAAATGTCAGATGTCAAAGTAAGGCTCCATTCCGGGTCATGCTATTGCCCTTGCAGCCTTTTCACGACATGCTGGGGTCACTCGGGTTCATTGTGTTATAAAAAAATCGTCATTCGGGTGTGATGAAAAATTTACGGTCAACATCGTGGTTATACTGTTATTGAACATTTTGCCGATTAAAACCGTTTAAAAAGAATATTTATTTGACATGAGGGGTTACCTTAAATCCTCGGGAACTGAAATGCGGATCAAACGAGCTTACCAAATGCCAACGCAATGTTAAAACAAACAAAACGTCAAGCATTGCGAATGAACTATGCAGAAATACACACTGATTATGTAAATGTAACAACATCTAAGTGTTTAGTAAACATTGATTTATTGTACAAAGCTTCTAATATTCTCTGCAAGACCTTTTCGAAATGGGCAAAAATGTCATAAATGTTCCTATCAGAGATGACACGGTCATGCAACGGATATTTTTCTATCCCTTCTGGGCATTTTTAAACACACCCAAAGAATCTATTATTACATAATAAACCACAAAAAACATTTTCATGTAGAAAATATCTAAACATATTTTCAGTGGTTCGATTTTGTATCGTATGATAGTACCTTAACAGTTGTCATGGAAGCACAATAATGAAGGGAATTAATCTGGACGCAGATCAGATAGCAGTGTAAACACGTGGATAAGTAATAACTAATGAAGTCCATACAGACCAAATTGAATTAGATGGGGCATGTGTCTAACACATTTATCTGCAAAATTAATCTTCCGTATGGTATAATTAAATAACAGTACACTCATACTCAGGTAGACGATACTTAATAACCCATATATACATTAAAGAAAACATCCAATGATTTATGAACTAAGATCTACGTGGCCATTAGGTAGGAACGTTCATATCCTAGATTCAGCTCAATCTTGTTTGCCGTAATCAAAAAGATCAAATGATAAATTAACCGGATGTGTAGGATTTTTTCGTCATCTAACGAAACTATACATAGTGGATAGAGAAAACGTTACTTGACCAATGAGATTAAGTAATCAACGGGTTCTGTTAGGCACTGGTCGTATAGTTGTGTTGTTGTTTGTAGGTGTTTGATAGGGCATATATAATTTTATTGTTGTTTGTAGGTGTGTGATAGGGTATGTATAATTTTATTGTTGTTTGTAGGTGTGTGATAGGGTATATATACTTTTATTGTTGTTTGTAGGTGTGTGATAGGGTATATATACTTTTATTGTTGTTTGTAGGTGTGTGATAGGGTATATATACTTTTATTGTTGTTTGTAGGTGTGTGATAGGGTATATATACTTTTATTGTTGTTTGTAGGTGTGTGATAGGGTATATATACTTTTATTGTTGTTTGTAGGTGTGTGATAGGGTATGTATACTTTTATTGTTGTTTGTAGGTGTGTGATAGGGTATGTATACTTTTATTGTTGTTTGTAGGTGTGTGATAGGGTATGTATACTTTTATTGTTGTTTGTAGGTGTGTGATAGGGTATATATACTTTTATTGTTGTTTGTAGTTGTGTGATAGGGTATATATACTTTTATTGTTGTTTGTCGATGTTTTATAGAGTATATACGCGTGTTATGAGGTATATATAAATTGTTATGTATAGAAATATGATAACAATGATGGATTATGATACTAAAGTAAACTGAAGGTAATGGACTTTGTAGTGAACATCCTGTAATTTCTATTTTGCTATCAAGAGTAATTCTGGTAAAGTGTCTTGTCAAAGCAAGAACCAAGACAGACTAACCGGCCTGCTTCTCGGGAAGATCAAAAGACCTATAGTTTAGATATCCTTCTATAATTACGCGTTAAAAAGATAGCCTGATTGTCCGGACGGGAGTGATATTTAAATAAGACATAAGAAATTCATCTTATTTCCCTTTTTTCATCAAATCATTGTTATTTTCTTAATTCGAACCACCCTGGAAGAGCAACCATCTATTAAAACAAACCTCACAATCAATCAGGAATGGGGTTTACTTTCAGAAAATTACTTTTTAGCATATAAATACAGATTAGAAACATTCATTTTATTGAAATTATTTCTAGTTTGACTGGAGATATGTTTGAAACAAAGATTATACAACAACTTTACCCTCTAAGTGTATGTATGACATTACTAGTTGAAACAGAAAATCAATATATATGCAGGTTTATTTTTTTTTCACCATTTTCTGTATTTTACGTATGCAATAAATTGTGTTCGTCTTTATACAATCTTGATTTGTTTTCTTCAGTTAGTCAGAGAATTTTTTGACAATGACTTACAAACACAATGACTCAATCATATAAATACTGTGACAATTGCCGTTGTCAACATATTAGTTTGGGACTCGGCCAGTGGGCCATGTATCATTTTAGGGCGAATTTATGAGAAAACCCACTCAAAGACTGAAAAGTCACTTAAGATGTGTATTCAGGATCAGTAGACCATGTTTGAGTACAATGAAATAAGCAAGGGGGGCAATGGGATAAGACATGGGCAATAATAAAACAGCGTGTCAGTAACACATCTGCACAGCACAACGAACGAGCTCAGTCTGCCCGAACAAAGGCGGACGATTTACAAAGAAAACTCATGGCGACTTGACTTACACACTCTTTCACCCCTTACAAACTATAACAATAAAGAATAAGAGACAACTCGACAACATTATCTCATGGTCACTTGACTTACACACTCTTACGCCCCTTACAAACTATTACAATAAAGAAAACAAGACAACTCGACAACATTATATGACAGTTAGACCCATGCACACTAACAATGGAACAGGTACCCGGAAGTGTGACGGCTAAAAATAGATCGACTCACTTTGACAGCGGTACACATGTCTTAAGATAAACAGGCACGCGATAAGATAACTCACGACGTATCCATACAGATATACACTTGCTAAAACATTCCTACGATAGACTACGTGACAATACTGTGCAGGTTAATGTATATCTACTTTCACTTTCACTTTATAGCTTGTTGTAAGTAGCAGCTGGAAATCGGTTTTTTACGTGGCATAATAAATAGAATTCCAAGTAATGCTTGATTTCGGTATTTGGTATTTGTTTGCACGACAGAGAGAGATTCGTAGACATGGGGAGTATTGAGTCGGGTGATGAATTTGAACTCATCGGCGAAAACAAAACTGACAGTCGAATGAAATGGAGAGCTTCTTTCAGACAAAACCTAAAGGTTTTGATGGTTTTCACCATCCAGATGATGTTAATTTTAATCTTGGTGAGCTATATTGTTGTCAGGGAAATCAAACTTACCTTACAGAATACTACAACGACATCGCCTGTAACTAGTTTGGATGCGAGTGCCAGTTTAAACGCTGTGTGCTTCCCGTGCGCGGAAATCGGTGACAATATCACAAACAACGACATTGGGAATCTGATCAAACTCGACAAGGAAACAAACATGTGCTGCATGGAAAATGCTGGAAATCTGAAGAAATTGTTTTTGTTGGTATGAGTGATTTAATTATTCTGTCTATATTTTCTCCTGGGCCTTTAAGAACACTCTACATTTGATATCAAATCGAATTGTACATTCTGTAGCTAAGATTGTGTCATACATTTACATAAGGACCTTACAAAAGTCGGTTTTTTTTGTAAGCATTAAATCCTTGGCATTTAACGAAAGGTAATCTTGTGTCACTGATAACATTTCTGCGTTGATTCCTTACCTGTACCATTTAAATACTTGAAACACTATTTGATTGTTAGTATTATAATGTCGTCGTGCATGTTGTAAACAGTAACATTACCTGTTCTCGGTAACTTGGCTATGTCAATAGTGTTATATATTCCTGTATGATATCAGTTTTATATATAGAAATATCTATGTGTAATTCGCGGAATAACAAATTTTATACCATGAATAATGAATAACAGAAAAATACAAGCATGTGAACAGAATCATAATCCAAACTCTACTTCAATAAAAATGCTGCGAAATGGTTGACACGGAGATTCCTAAAAAAGTACAAGGGGAAATAGAACCAGGTATCCCTGAAGATTAAGAGTCTTATAGAAAAAAAGACAAAAATATGAATAAAAGAAGATTAACATTTAGACATCTGAAAAAGTACATAGTAAATGAAACTTGGTGTTCTGGAAGAGTAATCTCCTCTGCCAAATAGGGCAAAATATGAGCAAAAAAATATAAATATAAAAACATATATACAAAGATAAAAAAACAGGTGATTCGGAATAGTAAGCGTCTTCTGCTTTATCTACGACACCTGTGAATCTCGGTTAGACCACGTAGGTAATATCACGTCCGCATAAAGATATATAATATTTCTCCATGAAGTCACTATGACGACTGTAAAACCTTCCCGTAACCTGTATTTGTCGAGAACGTGTGTTGTAAATTTGTCAGCATAAAGAGCTAACGTTACTTAAATCATTTATATGTAAATTTTGTTGTATAAGTGTTAATTAATAATTTTATCACAAGGTTCTTGATAGCCATATATATATATATTATTCCGGGAATAATAGAAATATGTGGTATATATTGTCTCCATTATGACATTAACTTTGTACTTCTCTCCTGCCAAGATATAAAACTAATACCGACATTGACTCGACTGTGACGTCATAAAAATTCATGTTTGTGACGTTATTTCATTGTTATTTTATGTTCTATTTGCAGAAGTCAAATTACTGCATCTGAAAAAGAATCCTATTAATCTTAACTACATACCGTTTGTTAAAATTCGGTCACTGTGTACACTTTATCATAACAAGTCTTTGTTAGAATACGGAAACACTTTCAGCAATACCGGTTTTTATCTGATGTTAATTTTCTTTTTGTCAAATACTCCTATATAAACATATCCTATTTGCGATGTTTTTTTTATATCGTAGATTATCAATGAATACTACAGAAGAATAGTGTATGGTTCAGCTTTAACCCGGAAAGCTACAGGACCAAACCATACACATAGCTCCACTGAAGGTAAGGTTCTCTTGCAAGTTTGATATTCTTACGTGAAAAATCCATATTAAAAATACTGGAGTGTAAATGTTCTTCAACAAATTCTGTATTAAATCTTTAAGTCAATATAAATGGACACTTCCCTTTGAGAAATGTTTGCGCAAACTCCAAAAGCTATCACAGCAAGGTAATAGACTAAAATATATGTTTGTTTTTAACCAATAAAAATATTTACAAGTAAGATTATAACAACTGAAGTAGTAAAACACTAATGACATTACCTCTGCCAGTCGTGGTCTCACACACGCTATTACATCTACGCTTATCAGTAATACCACCAGACAACACGTTATATTGATTTATATCCGTTTAAACTTGTTTCCGTCTCTACATTTCTACATAGAGTGGTATTTGATTCTCATATACACGTAAGTTTGGAGTGATCAAAGACCCAAAACATTTGGTGAACACGGCATATAATCACTTGATGCATACGGTATCGCACTACTCACATAGTCATAGTATTATTTCAGGGGCGTAGCTAGCCCAGCAGAAATGTGTAAGCCCAGGCGAGGGGTCTGAATTTCATGATTTCAAAGATGTTTTGGATCGTTTTCTGAGGCAGTTTTTTTTTTATTTCTTTAACAACAAACTTTAACCCCTGATGTTTATTTTCAACCTTAGTTTTGTAATTTTGTTTGACATACTCTATGCACGGATTTTTTTTATGTGTAAGCCCGGGCTTTTTCTTTCTATGGAAGCTACGCCCCTGTATTTTAAGTCCGTTACACACAGTATTGTTTATCTTCAGTCATGCAATAGATCGAACCTAGAATGCCCCCTGTATCTAGTAAATTTAAATTATTCATGAAAATGAGCTTCATATAATTTTGGTCTCTCCGAACTGTGGATGAGGATTGTAATTTGGTCAATCTCGGGAATTCTAAATATTGTCCTTTACCTGACCACACTCTTGTCGGAATGATACAGACTGCCTACATGTACCAATCTCAGAGCTTGTGTTAGAATTGTCCAGCCAAATTCTTAGATAGTTTCTGTTCTCCTTGTTTGAACGTGCTATTTATAATCATGATATTACAACCATGCGATTCTACAGGTAGATGAATGAACAAGTTATCTCAGAACTTTCTTTATAAACTAATAGAACACAACTCATAAAAACTGTAATGAATATTATGGCGTGATATGCTGTGTTTATAGTCCATTGATACCTGTAAGTTAACACTCACAGAAAGTTTATGATATAAAAAGAATTTCATTCCAGGAATGAGAAACGACTAAAACTTTCCACCGTCAAAAATGTGTCCATTTCAGAAATTTGATATTGTAAAAGTATTATTTTACAATGTTGAAAAAAGATAATGATACTTCAACAAACCAATAACATATTTTTGTCCAAATATGATGTCTGTTTGATCGTATTGTGGAAAGGAAACTTTTGTGTGCAAAATAAATAACCGTTTTTTCATCAATTCTTCTTAAAATATTTAGTCAATAACTGTATCAGATGGTGTACATATCGAACAGGACACGCCTCCTCTCCGATTCCATCTGATAAAACACCTCGAAAGCCAGGGAAATAACACTGTCCCTGGACACAAGCCAACCACATCATAGTCACTAGATCCGATCAAACAATTTACTGCTTTGTGGCATCTAGGAATTGGTAGCCAGTCTGGTCCGAACCGAGGTGTAAGTATTCTAATGACAGAGAAGAAACAGTATGTATTTGTGTATCATTGCTGAAACCAAGTTGATGCTATCAAAGAAGAAATAAACTGATCAGATTTTGTTTTCGTTTGTCAGTTGTTGGAGCGGCTGCTGATGCAGGAGGCTCGGACAATGCGTTTGAGGCGCCATCTGTATCTAAATCGCTTTCATTTTGGAAGAAGAGGGAAGACGCAGCCCATATGTTTATCGACCTCGAACGTCTTGACAGTTCCAATGAAACAGGTTGTTGCTATCATCTTAGTGGCATACCATGTAATATGATGTCATATGTGATGGGCATCTTGCGTGATATTTATTGAGGGATCCACCAACTAATGCAAGGATGAATAAGTCTTCACACAATATATTCATTAACAGCATTGTAAAACATGAAATAAAGCGTGCTTCTGACCTAGATTCTCATATTTATTTCGTTACCGTTTCAACATCGCAAATGTTACTATTAACTTAACCTGCTTACTTTTGAACAGGTCACCGGGTCCCATGGGATGGACACGACAGCCACAACCTGCCGACGGCTGACCATCTAGTGAAATACCACCCAGATAAACGTAGTATCCAAGTAACTGACTCTGGTCTGTATTTCATCTACTCCTCAATCACACTCAAAGCTCCAACAACCGGCAAATCACCAGAAACGTATGCACAGGTATACCACATGCTATTGCGGGAGCACTACCTGCTGCCAAACACGGGGTCCACTATCATGATGATGAACAAACATGGGGGAGGAAAGCCGTCAAGTGCCTTCTACAACAGTTTCCTATGTGGTACGTTCAGATTACGTAAAGATGACGAAGTCTTTGTTTCAGTTTCAAATGCCTCGTTCTTGTACAAATCATATTATTCTAACTATATTGGTCTGTATAAGCTATAGGCACGCTATTGCTACACGGTAATTAACCTTCAGATTAACCGACAAACAACGAGATGTTATCTTGGGTAACGCATGAAATGTTTCTTTCTCAAATTAGAACAAGGTTAGCAACGACGCCACCAGGTATAGTAACGGGCATCGAAGTTTTTTTCCAGTTATGGCATTGTGGTGACCATGTGACATCATAGCAACAGTTATATAAAAAATACGTGTAATTACTTAAAAGGGTTAAAATAGATTACAACCATGAAGCTATGAATTTTGCTCTTTAAGAAAATAATAAAAGGTGGGTGTGTCTTTATTTCATCGCCCATCATAAATTTTCATGACACCAATCTTTCCAGCTTATCGGAAATTATTTCCCTTTTATTTTTCAGTGTCAAGGTTGAATTTTTTAGTTTGGATCGACATTTCGTTATATGATGGTATTCTCTTGACTACACTCATTAACTGTTAGAAATGTAATCCTCGATACTCCATTTCTGCACCCCTGGAACATCCCATGACGCCTTGTAGATAAGACGAGAAAACTTGTTTAATCCTTTGATGTGCATCCAACGAATCTCGCGGTCTCATTTTGGTATATAGTATAGGTTTCTAAGTGTGAGGCCTCATTGTAATCTTAAAAGGAGCGTTTCAGTCTGTGATAGGTAAGTTATTTTTTTATCATGAAACCCGTTCCAGACCAATCAAATTACTTCGCTCGTGCCTTCAATTTTGCCGCGATATGTCACAGGGGTGCAGAGAGCTAAAATGAGTACCGAGGATGACGTAATGAAGAACACAGGAGAGTTCTCCATTTGGTAACCCATTCTCCAACAGAGTTGTCGTTCCTTCGCGTCACAACACATATTATAACTCAATACCCTCTGGGAGAGATTGACGATGCCCTGATATTTAACATCTCTCTCCTGACTCGCCTATCGATTACATCAGGGTTTTTTTTCAGATGTAGGATCATGTGTATTATGTAGTTATGCTGTTTTGAGATCCCAATCGTAATGTCCTAAAGGCATAACATGTAAGTTACCTCTTTGGTCCTGATTAAAGCACACAAGAGATTATTAAGAAAACCCGAAGAATACCAACATAGTTAGGCAGATGACATCAGAATCGATCCCAAGTAGCTTAGGTGTAATATATCACCCGACCTCAGTAGTGTAATCTGTTATGATCTAAAGTACAATCATTTATATAAATAGTTCAAATTCTAATTTTTCAATCCTATAATGAAACACTATACTTCAATATTGTTGTCTTTCATTTCATTTCAAAGAATTTTATTTACAGATGGTATGGTTAAATGGATTAAATAACAGGCTAAGCCTGTATACATTTTCTCCAATGACGGCTACTGGAGTGAAAAATACTAATCTGTGTAACTAGAAGCTTAGGTAAAACATTAGATGTAAAAAAAATGTATATGTACACAATGCAATCAAGGGAAGTAAGTCACAAACAATTGTGAATGTATAACAGATAAATACACACCCTCATTCACATACTTGCACACAGACACAGGTATTTACTACATCTGCACTATCATCAATGATAATATTTGTAGTGTATAGTGCAATTAATGCACGTTATATTAAAAGGGTATATCTGTGGAAAATAGTAGAAAATATCTTTATATATATTTCATCCAGCTTTTTTTTTTTTTGTGTTCTGTAAAATATATAATGGAGACAGCTGTTAACGTTGATCTTTCCTTTATTGAGTCTCGTCCAAAAGTTACAAACAAATATCAAATACAAGTAATCACAGTCTGATTATAAGACTTGTTGTAAATGTACATGATACATAATGAAATTATCGAATATAAATTTAACTGACAAGTCATCTGTGTATATGGGGAAATTAGAGGTAGAGATAAATAAATCTTGGCTATGTGAGGGTTTTACAATATGAAAGCCAGGCCATAAATATCATTAATTGGTATTTAGCCAATTAAAACTAAAATTAATTAAGTTATATGAACATCAATATATATCTTCCAATGATTCTGAATAGAATTTAAGTCCTCACAATTATGCGTATTAAAACCTGAACTCAAGTTCTAATAATCATTATAAGGAACAGTAATAATAATACATCATAAGTACATATATTTCAATCAGATTCTAAACTGAGATAACAAATTACAAGATCTGACAGACAAAAACAATTTAAGATAATTTCATAACTTTGCAAGATAAAAGTATATATTAATATTAAAAATTCAATACAAAGAAATGGAACTAAATCTATTAATAATTAAGTGTCAGAATTAAGGGGCAATAACTCATAAATAATTCATAAAATGATATCTAATTGAAACATACAATATTTCACAAGAGACTAATAAATTGTGCATAAAATGCTTATGGTTGAAAGCTTTACAATAGATAAATATTTTCAATTACGGGAACACTATTCTTTGCATTTCACAGACAAGAATAAAACATAAATATTTAACTACATAAATCAATACAAATACAGACGTATGAAAGATAATATCGAACACAGAAAAATAATAATAAAATACAAATTGTGTCAATTAACAATATGGAAATAGACTAAATGTACATAAGTAAGAAAGTGTGCTCACCTGTAAAATATATAATGGAGACAGCTGTTAACGTTGATCTTTCCTTTATTGAGTCTCGTCAAAAAGTGATACGAAAACTCAGATTTTATGAAGATCAAGCTGTTCTCCGGACACAGGCATGCGCAATGGTAAGCGTCGGTATAATTCCAAAAATATCTAAATCACTGACATGTGGGCTCCTAGCCATAACCTATTACGTAATGGCCACTCGCCACACAAAGGGTGTTGACCAAGGGCTAATATAAAATACTAGTGTAAATCCTTAGTGCCGATACAATCACAATTGACCCTTCCGTGTCTATGACACTTTACAATTTAATTGCTTTAAATCTTCCTGACATGAAAGGTTAAATATATCTTTGTTGACTTGTGAATGTTATAATTATGTAACAAGATTAATTGACAAACCAAAATGGACATTTAGTGTATAAAAAAATCTGTATTGAATAAATTGTACTTTTTAAAGAAATTCGTTTGTTCCAAATGAATTTCATATTTAACTTTGAGAATATTTAATTTATATATAGAAAATGAACTGATTAAAAGAAAAGAGAGAATTTTATCATGAAATATCCCTCTTACACAGAAAAATCTTCGTCCCGAAGATTAACAATAAAAAGTAATAAATGATTATTTGAGAAAAAAAAAGAAAAATATCAGTATCTTCACAATGTTCATACAGGAAACAGTTCTCAAAAATAAAATATCAAAGTACTGGAAGTCCGACATGAAAATATAGGTGCATAACCATGATATTTGACAAATACATATTTACATTCAGGTACAAAACCATGTGAACCTTTGATAAGACAATGAATAAAATCATTGTGCTTATGACTCAAGCAATCCATTTGTATTTTTCTATACAACATAAGGAAAAACATATATCAGTATGCACAAAATAACAAATATATACAATTGAGCTCATTTGTGAATTTGTACATGTACATTTTAAATACCACAATGTTTGAGGTAGTTTTGTTCAGAAACAACTGGGCAGCATAGAAGGGCCATCATAAATATAATCCAGATCTTAGGAATACCAAAGACACCTATGGAAGACAGAAAGAAAAGGTGAAACTGTTTGATTGGTATCATATATGCCGGTATAAGGTCGCTGCAGACGCCTTTAGCACTAGTATAGATTTGCATAAATACAAATCATGACAACTCATAGCATACATATCAACAAAGATGTAAGATAAAGATAAAGGTAAGATCACCAGAAGCGGTAAAAGAGAAAGATGTCTAGTAGTATCTTACGAAAAGATTTATTATGAAAAACAAGTCAATTTAGACTTTTTGGCCTTCTTTCGTGCTTTACCCTTTTGTGTTTTTGTGGTATGAAACTTGCGTATCAAGTCTGAAGGCAAGTTTTCAGCTGGTTCCCAAGTTCTGGCTGAATATCCAGTCCATTTTACCTTGTAATATTTCACACCATTTCGTGTTTTACAAGCTAACAATTTGTCGACATCATACTTTTGTTCATCTGTTGTATTTGGTAGGGGAACTTCTGTACCCTGGGAGTTATTGTTAACTCCATCGTCTGGATTTGAATCCTGAGATAATGACCCTTGTGCATTGTCCTGCACTGAAGGCGTCGTATTTTCTTTTTGCACATCATTTGATGCTGCAGGTGTAACTGCTGCTTTGTTTGCAACAATCTTCCCATGGTCAGGGACGATGTAATTACCAACAGGCCGATCTAAGGGCTGATCAAATTTTGGCCTTTGGTCATTGCTTGTGTATAGCTTCAAGCGATTAGGGTGAGGCTGGGTCCAGGTAAAAATGCTGCAGCTGGCAAGGGTTGATTTAGGCTGGACATGATTTGTTGTTGTTGTGGCGGTGGTGGTGGTGGTGGTGGTGGTAATCCAGCAGATGAAGGAGTTGATGCAGTTGAGACTATCACATTTGGTATTGATGTTGTGGCTGTTGTCGTTGTTGTTGAACTTTGAGCATAAGTTGATGTTGACGCCATGTTTGCTTGCCTGTCGTTACTTCTTAAATTGTAATTACTCGGACGGCCGTGGGCATTCATGGGATCATGGATATCTCCACCAAGTTTTCATCCAGCTTTTTTTTTGTGTGTTCTGTAAAATATATAATGGAGACAGCTGTTAACGTTGATCTTTCCTTTATTGAGTCTCGTCCAAAAGTTACAAACAAATATCAAATACAAGTAATCACAGTCTGATTATAAGACTTGTTGTAAATGTACATGATACATAATGAAATTATCGAATATAAATTTAACTGACAAGTCATCTGTGTATATGGGGAAATTAGAGGTAGAGATAAATAAATCTTGGCTATGTGAGGGTTTTACAATATGAAAGCCAGGCCATAAATATCATTAATTGGTATTTAGCCAATTAAAACTAAAATTAATTAAGTTATATGAACATCAATA